TCCTTTGTAGAGAGTATTTAGCAGTAGCCAGAATTTTTACACGCTGTTTTGAAAATTACTCGGTAGACCAAATTCATTTCTGTTTAACTTTACATCAGACTTCTTGTTAAAATACTGTTAGTTATAAAGCTACTCGCGTATTGCTCTTAATATATAATATGTTTATTATTGTTAAAAAGAGCTAAATGAAAATTCAATCGAAATTTAGAATTTTCATATATTTCATAACGTTTTTCAACTTGTCTTTTTAATAGTATTAAGAATTCAATAAACACGTGACTACAACTTGTACCTTTGTATCATCCGCTTCACAAAAGTCCATTGTTACACTGTAATAATCAAATATTGCTAGTTTCACATATTGAATATCTTTGCAGTAAATGGAGGTACACAAAATAGTTTTCTACGCTTTTCAAATCTACAGTAGCCACTGATCAAAGCACGATATCATCAACAAGAAAACGCATTTCGATAGCAACAACTACAGTGCAAATTGCAACTATATATTGGCCTTTGGCTTCAACGTCTCGTGATATGGTCACTACAGAAACGTCAAAGGCGACTGCTGCAAATTCAAGGGTTGCATTAACGGACTGGATTTCGGAAAATCGAAGCACTGAAATAGATACAGACACAATTTCTGTAGCTGCATACAGTTCAAATCAATGTCATTTTTCCTGTAAGCTAAAAAGTAACAAATGGCTTCGACTTGAAAAGAGCGTATCAAGAGACAGACTTCGAATTCTTCTACAAAACTACATATTTCAACTTCAGAAGAATATAACAGTGGAGGTAAAGGAAACCTTTGCTTACTGGAATAAGAAAAGATCAGCTCAAGACAATAGGAAGTCGTGTAGGATTATGGGGTGGACTGCCTGTTTTGTAATAGTTTTTCCATTTGCATTGGTTGTATTTTCTGATCTAATGAATATAGAATGAATTTCATAACAGTGTGGACATGGACACCTGGTACATGTATTTAAATGATATCGTGTCGGTCACTGGCTGTCGACACAAAGACCTCACGCAATAACAGTATGTCAGGGGCCTCTCAATGAGGATATACATAATTACTATTTTAACCATGGCCATTCATATATTTTTTTTGCATGAAAGTTTATAGGAATTTGTTTTGAATATATTTATATACTCACAGGAAAAGTTTCTTTTGAAAGAATGAGTATATTTAGAGGTGATATCACCAAGTAATCGAGAGAAAAAAATCTGAGAAAAAAATAAGAAAAATTCTTTTCTGGCAATAAGTGAAAAATTAAGTAATGTGTCAGTTATAGGCAAGTAGTCCATCATGCATTGCTAATCATTCAGTGGATTGGTCAATCGCCAAAAAAAAATGCTTTATTTGGAAACAAACACTTATACCCGACCTGATAAATGCAGCTGACCAGTTTAGTCTTGTACACAGGATTTATATGTTTCTTGATATTTTCACGGGTTATTTTTTGTTAGAATGATATTTAAATGTTCATGCAAATCTGATCGTTGGCGTCTTCGATGGAAATTCCGTGCAAAAAATTATGCAGCCCAGAGGACTAAAATGATTGTTTATGAAGGTCCGGGGTTCTTATTACCAACAAAAAATAATCTTAGTATGAAAGTTGATCGTAGGTTACTCTACATCAACTCGTACGAATAAATGTTTTCTTATTTTTTTAAGAAGCCACAGAACGTTTGTGCAAGAAAAACATAACGTTTTTTTTCTCTCGATTACTTGGTGTTATCACCTCTGAATATACTCATTCTGTCATAAGAAACTTTTTGTTATGAGTATATAAATATATTCAAAACAAATTCCTATAAACTTTCATGCAAAAACTATTATTTTATGAACGGACATGTGTAAAGATAGTACTAGTAATTATGTATATCCCAATTGAGAGGGCCCTGACATACTATAATTGCGTGAAATCTTTGTTGACGACAGCCAGTGATACACAAGATAACATTGTCCACGCTGTTATGAAATTCGTTCTATACTGACCTAAATAAAACACGGCCAATTCAGTGATCAACCTGAAATCAGATCAATATATTAGCAGTAATATGAGATTTATCTCAGCCAATAAATATATTATGGCAGCCACATTCCATTTTAAGGACGCTGCACTTACAAATGTAGTTCATTACTATGATGTTTATAGGGAAAAACGTACAACAAAAATACCGAATTCCAAGGTAAATTCAAAGAGTGGAAGTCCATAAAAACTGACAAAATCAAACATTATCAATCAACAGAACGAGTGAAAAAACAACCGTCCTATTCCTGACTTGGAACAGCCATTTTCATAAGAAAATGGTGGGTTAAACGTGGTTTATTGTTAGCTAAACCTACACGTGTATGACAGTTGTATAAAGATAGTCAAGACTTCATTTGACTTTTATTTCTAAAGCTTTGTAACACATACAAGTGTCTTGTCCTGATTGTTATCGTAAAAAAACAGTAGCAATGTCAGACTGGAATGTGAATACTATTGCCTGTATTGGCCAACATACTACTGTTTTTCCTTCAAGGTCTGAACATGGTATGTCATAACAATTCAATTCAGTATTCGCTATGTTTGCTTCGTGGGACAAGATTTTTACATTCAGTCTGAATTATTAGGTGAAAAAACGAATAACCATGTTTACTCTCTGTTGATGGTTATATTTCATTTGTTTGAATTTTTCTAGATACAATGTAAGTTTTTAAGTTTATTACAGGATCGTAAAGATCCCAGAACATATTTTATCACATAAAATTTAAGAACTTTCATAAATTGAATATTATTTTACATTATGTATGTTGGACAGAAAATCACGTTGGTCTTTTATGTCCTTTTATGCTATCGTAACAAAATGGAATCTGTAATAAACTCAAAAACGTGTTTAAAAGCATGTTCGTTTTGCTCCTGATTAAGTAGACATCTCCCGAGGTTAACAGTTTTAAATCTAATGAAAATTCATTTGGGAACCAGTTGAGGGTTTTCGAATGGCTTGAAATAAAGGCTGCATGTTGTTTGTAATTTCCAAGTTAATGGATACTTTGTACTGAAACAAAATAACCACCTTAGTCAAAGTTGATCGTAGAAGCTTTTGCCTGGTCTTTATAACACTATTCGTTTAATACACCCAAATTCTTTTATGCGTTGCTTCCAAAAGTTTTGGTCTCGTGTGGAACTGATGAAGGTTAAATTAAGAAACACTTCCGCACGGAAATCGGTATCGCACTGTTTTCTTCGTTTCTTTTTTATTTTTGTTTGTAGTTTCCGTATTATTTTGGTAGAAAAAGACTGTGGAAAAAATACAAGTCGTAGACCTCATTTTTAAAGTAAATTGAGATTTTACCAAACTTGAACTTTTATGGATACCTTTTTGCATTTGGAATACTTAGTAAAAGGTAAACATTCAAAGTCCTATAGAAACTAGATGTGTCAGAACGACACGAATGTCCCCGCTCGCAAAAAGCATGTATTTTCGGCATTAAACGTAAATTCAATCTGTAACTCATCATAGTGGACCCACATACTTAAAGTCAGCTCAATATGGAAAGGCGTTTGGAAAAAAAAAAGTCCTTATATCTGTTATTTATTTTTCACAAAATTTTCAAAGTCAAAAGCCTGTAATTTCGGAAAAAACCAGCAGAGCGGAACAAAACGTAAACTCGATCTGTAACTCATCACGGATAAGGGTAAACTATATGGACCCGACCTATAGATATCTGGGAATATGGTTGGTTAAAGGACTACACGTGGTGACTACATATATTTGATATAGGATGTCCTAAAAATATGGGGTTAGTTACCATATGGGGTTAGTAAGGACTTACTTCCCTTTCAAAACAAAAAAGAAATCTGAAAGGTTTTAACAAACGAAAAAATTGATAATGAACGATTGAAATAAATTCATAAAACAAATTTAAAGCTAACAAGTTGTTATTGTTGGCAATTTTTTTTTTGTATTGACAAATGGAAGTAGGTTCTTAATAATTAGTATTGAAAACTTAATCCCTTTGATAGGCCGCTAGTCTAAATACCACATATGAAGATAGTCGGTAAGATAAATTCGTTACACGGTGTGCTAGTGACAGACGAAGAAATTGATGATGAACGATTGAAATAAATTCATAAAACACATTTTAAGCTAACAAGTTGTTATTGTTGGCATTTGTTTTTGTATAGACCAATGGAACTAGGTTCTTAATATGAACGGTATTGAGCTTGATCACTAATTTGATAGGCCACTAGTCTAAAACACCATGTTAAGATAGTCGATAAGATAAATTCGTTATACAGTGTGCTAGAGACCTAATACGATATATATGGGGTCAGTAAATTCCATTTGGGGATTCGAACTTCGCTCTCACCCTATATGAAATTTACTGACCCAATATATATATTCGCTCTCACCCCATATAGAATTTACTGACCCCATATATATCATATTAGGTCACTAGCACACTATGTAACTAATATTATAATGTAAATACAAAAGCCTTCATCTAAATGGTATGAAATATTAACTAGTGTATGAGTGTAAAACTCGGAAGTTGTACCATTGAAAGTCAATAGGGAAGTGAAATACGAAGATCTACATATGATATGTATTTATGTAATATTCTACATTTCATTGTACGACCTTCAATAATATGGGCATATATACATATCATATCGGAAGATAACTAAAATACATTTTGAAAGCCAACTTATAATATTTGCAAATCTACTTGTGAATATTTTCATGTTTTCAAAATGGAGAAGGAACTGCTAACCCTTCCAGAACACCTAAGTTTATCCCGGTTGTTTGATGGGGTTCGTTTTACTCATTCTTTAGTTTTCTATGTAGTGTTGTGTGGACGTAAACGTCTTTTCGTCTTTTTTTCGTTTTTTTTTTGTCATGCGTTGTCTCTTTGACCTACGAGTTTAGAATGTCCCCTTGATATCATCCGCCTCTTGTTTACTGTTCTAGTATGGTAATCATCAGTCAAAAGAATTAAGAGATGACAATTAAATGACATTACTTTAGTGAAAACAAACAATACAGAATGATAATGATAACTATAATTTGATGAGATGATTATTTACAGTCTTTGATTTAGTATACATCCAATAATTATGTCTGCGTCGATTTCGATCCTACCAATTCTCGAGAAATCTTTGTAGTGGAATCTTCCATCAATCTGTAAAATGTTTTTACAAGGTATAACAAGCACTTATATTTACCCCTATGAACCATTTTACTACACATGTATGAATGAGGTTATAATTCCAGTAGACAGATTCGTCCTTCAACACATTTGAATGATCTGATGAATATGAATAAAAGAATTGAGGTATTCCTTAAAAAATAAAACATTAATCAATCAATCAATGTGGTCATGGGTAATTCAAGAAAGCTCTCTTCGTATGGAATAAAGAAATGTAACTACTAATACACACCTTATCTTGCCAAGGAAAAAATGCGATTCACTTTTCCTTGTACTGTATATTCATATGATAGCTGTCGCTGTATGTTAAACGCGACAAGAATCAATCAGTTCTTTATTTTGAATATAAACGAATAAAAAAGTGTTAGGAGGAGGGTTGGGCGCCCGATAACATGTTTAACCCCGCAACATTCTTTATGTGCCTGTCCCAAGTCGGGAGCCTGTAATTCAGTGGTTGTCGTTTGTTGCTGTATATCATATTTGTTTTTCGTTCATTATTTTGTACATAAATCAGGCCAGGCCGTTAGTTTTCTCGTTTGAATTGTTTTACATTTGTCATTTCGGGGACTTTTATAGCTGACTATGCGATAAGTGCTCATTGTTGAAGGCCGTACGGTGACCTATAGTTATTAATTTCTGTGTCATTTTGTCTCTTCTGGAGAGTTGTCTCATTGACAATCATACAACATTTTCTTATTTTTATATAAAGAAATGATATTTTTCCGTTATTGGGGTTATTGTTCTTATGTTTTAACTAATGATCCGAAGATTAAATAGTAAAAATGTGAAAAAACAAACGTCCGAACGAGACCTACCACCAAATTTGTAGTTACCTTACAGCAACATGACGGGTGCCACTAGTGGAACAGGATCTACTTACCCTCCGGAGTACCTGAGATCACCATCAGTTTATGGTAGGGTTCTTGTTGCTTAGTCTTAAAAATTAGGTTTTTTTTGTAGTGTTTAGTTGCCTTGTTTGTCTTATGGTCGTATTTTGTTTTTTGCCATAGCTTTGTCAGTTTCTATTCGACTTGTGAGTTTTTAGTGTCCATTGTATCTTCCGACTCTTTTTTGCATACAGGAAAGAGCAAATTTGCTATTACAGAAACTACCCAGTCACAGTTACGTTAACGTATTTATATATTTACAATCAATAGCAAGTGGCTTTGTTTGTTATGTAGTGAGCATTAATTTGTTAATACTTCAATATTTGTAGCATAACAATATGAAACCTTAGCATACATTTAGCTTTCAGGTACTTTGGTATGATAGCGCGAACTGGACATTCGCGGTAAAACCTTTTTCTGAAAATAATTTTTACTTTGGCCATCCGAAACTCAATCTCAGTCAGTGAGTGCTGTATAATTTCCCAATCAAGCCATCAAATTACATTGTTTTAATGATTGACAGGCTAAATAACAGTATTTAAACAGTGTTTAGTGTTTGTTCATCAATACCATGCGACGAAAAAGAAAATAAGTAGAATTACAATTTATAAAAATATGTTCTGGTTATTTGTGTCGTTGGGTTACCAATTGCCGCCTCAATGTCGTATACCCAACATCATTACAATTATAAAGAGTAAGCACGTGTATTCCACATCATAGATTAAAGTGGTTTAAAACTGAAACGTCAAACTCTATTTACAGTTAGTTTTTTGTAGTTCTATTAACGTGGTACGAGTTAGTTTTTTGTAGTTCTATTAACGTGGTACGTATAATACTAATCATCAGTGATGTTGATGCTTCCTAGGAATACTTGTCTATTTAGGAAACACAATCAAAAAGATATTTACCTTGATAGTCTTTAATGATGGTCATGGCCATGGTCGCCGCCACCACCCAGAAGAATACAACATGCCAACTGTAATAGCATAATGCATTTTATTAAGTAATATTCATATCCTAATATTAGACCGTACTACATTATTAAAAATGTAAAATCATTGTATACTCCTTTATAAAGATATATTTAATAATAGATGTATAAATAATTTTATAATATATTCGTATATCTATATATATAGATATGGCGTACAAAATTTTAATCCTGGTATCAATGATGAGTTTATTTAAAACCACTGGGTCGATGCCACTGCTGTTGGAGGTTTTCTCCCCGAGGGTATCACCAGCCCAGTAGTCGGCACTTCTGTGTTGAGATGAATTATCATTGATATTCAGTTGTCATATTTATAAATTAACTTTTTCTTTTAAAATACTAAGGATTTTCTATCACAGGAAAAGATTACCTAAGCTGTGTTTTTGCAAAGCCTTTCGGAATTTTGTGTCCTCAATGCTCTTCCATTTCGTACTTTATATTTGGTCTTTTTAACATTTTGATTCGAGCTTTACTTATGAGTCTTTTGTAGATGAAACGCGCGTCTGGCGTACAAAATTTTAATCCTGATATCTATGATGAGTTTATATATATGGTATTAGATAGCTAAAGATTATTTAAGAGTGTTTAGATCCATAATCAGAAATTAAGGATGTTCGCTTCTCTGTTTCAAAATAGCAAGCTTTTTAAAAGTCTGTTATAAATTGATAGTGTATATATATATATATAACAGAATTAAAAAAGCAGAAAAATGCAAGGTCCTTGTCCTTGTTTTTGAGATATAAGCCATTGAAAATTTGGCGGGAAATGATTCTCTCTGGATTTTTCATACATTTAACATTGGCACCTTTTTTTTCAAAACCTATGAAAAATTAACAAGGATTTTCAAAAATGGCTTTTCAAACTATATGAAAAAAATTATGAAAAGAAAAGTAGGGGTTAGCGGGCCAAATTTTTTATGGCAACACATGGATCCAACATAGGAATCCGAATATCTGACAAAAAGTCAAAAACAAGAGAAGCGAACATCCTTAAACGACAAAGACACTGTACAGGCAAATCGGTAATAAGTCAAAAACAAATCAAATATACAGCAAACTTACTCCTAGTACTAAGATAATTGGACCTAGAAATATTACAACAAGGACACAGAGCAACCAGTTCCACCACTCCCACTTACTTGTATCTGGCATGCATCTAATCAAAACATTTCAATATTAATATAATACAAAAATACATTGTAACGTTTACAGATTCATTCTCGTGTGTGTGTCTATACTGAAAAAGGCACACGAGTTATACAAAACTAGAGGCTCTAAATAGCCTGTGTCGCTCACCTTGGTCTATATACATATTCAACAAAGGACGATCTCCAACATTGTAGACGAGAATAGAATTCATGACAAAAATCTCTGTTTTGTTGATCTTGTATCGCTGATCATTTAGTCGGTTTAGTTCTCTTATCTTATTTTTTGTTGTTGCTCAAAACACAAAAGATGGTAAAATAAATCCTCATTTAAGGGCAATCGCTTCTATAAAGAGTGACAGTCTACTAACTATATCTGTAAAATTTGACTTGTTAGCAGATCTTGCCTTGCTGATAATTTTTTTGTGATTTAAAGTGTCTATTTATCTATTATAATTTTTATCATATAAGGCAAAACGCAAAAAAAAATGGTAAAAATCGTAATCAAAGGGCAATAAGTCCAATAAGGAGTCGTCGGACGATTTCCTGTATGTTGTCTTAATTGTAGATCTTGTCTTGCTGATAATTTTTGCTCATTTAAGTTTCTATCTATCTATTATTATTTTTAAGATATAAAGCAAAAACGCCCAAAAATGGTAAAAATCGTCATCAAAGAGCAATAACTCTAATAAAGAGTCGACTGACGATTTCGACTATGCAGACTTATTTGTAGAACTTGTCTTGCTGATCATTTTTGCATCTTAAAGTTTCTCTCTATCTATTATGATTTTCAAGATAATAGGCAAAAATGAAAAAAAAGAGTAAAATTTGTCTTTAAGGGCAATAACTCCTATGAGAGGTCGTCTGACAGTTTTGACACATATATATATATATATATATAATTGGTAGAGCTCAACATTGTGAACATTTCTGCCCCTGTCAGATTTTCTCTATTCATAAGGGTTTTCAAAATAATAGACAAAACTTGCATTTTATCCCAATTTTCTATTTTTAGCCATTTCGGCCATCTTGGTTTTGCAGGCGGTGTCATCGGACACATTTTTTAAAAAAGATACCTCAATGATGATTGTGGCCAAGTTTGGTTATATTAGGCCCAGCAGTTTCAAAGGAGAAGATTTTTGTAAAAGTTAACGACGATGGACGACGGACGACGAGAGACGACGACCGACGACGACGGACGACGGACGCCAAGTGATGAGAAAAGTTCACTTGGCCCTTTGGGCCAGGTGAGCTAAAAATCAACAAGTAGTATACACAGAAAAGACTGTTTTATAATCTTTATATAATTGAAAATGTATATAAAGCTGACATTCGATAATAAATGTATATAGTCTACTAAATTATTCTTTTGGTTTTTTTTTTCAATTCAACACTCAAATATTACTGTGAATCATATACTACTGTCAGGTGAAATATATTCCCTTTTTTGCCTACCATCATAGACACGTATATGCATACTTGAAATCATGTTCTACACGTTTAAATCGTTAAACTTCCTTATCATTCACAACAGGAAAATTTCAAAATCCATCCAAATAAAAGATATATACATGTAAAAATCCACCAATCAAATTGTATAAATCACTTATCAAAGTTAAAGTATTCTTGTCTAGAGGCATTTTTGAAATAAAATTATTTTTGACATATCTCAGGAGTAGTCAGAACGGGTTGTAAAATCTATTTCGATACCACCATGCCTGGAAGAATGTATTATTAAGATATGTCAAGAACGAGGACCCAATAATATAACTTTACGTAACCAGAATTCACGCTATACAAAAAGTAATCCATTATGATTTGGCTGTATGGTTATGTTCCAAGGGAGTTAGTTAAAAATGAATTTAGTTTATAGTAAGTTTATTGTAGTAAGAAACCCAGGACGAGTTCAAACAGAAAGATTTTGAAGCAGTGAAAACTGTGCACCTTACAATCAGCATGACTTTATCAGATGACAATACGAATACTAAAAATCCAGGTAAAAAATAAGGCATAGGTACTTTAATACAGTCACGGAGCCGCGACATGTCGCGTGTGTGTTTTAGTGTACTTTTTATATAAGGGACAATTTTGTGTTACTTCTTCACAATTACATTTTGTACTCTCTTATTTCACTAAACTAATAGGAAGCACATCTTCTTTCTGTTCCATAGCAATGGAGTTCACCCAGAATTTGTGCGGGGTTTTTGTTGCTTTTGCGGTGTAGTTGTTTGTCCTTTTAAGACTTTTCAATTTGATTTTGCTATTGGTTTTTGCATATAATATGATAATATACTTTATATCCTTGAAAACATAAGAAAATGGAAAATACAAATGGGAAAATCACAGATTACGCTTGGAAATCAAGCATACCGTTAGAAGGATGGATAGACTATGATAAATTAACCTTGCAGACTTTGCCCACATAGTCAAATACTAGACTATACCGGATAAAGGAGAAGATAGTCATAGTTTCGTTAGATAAATTTGGATTAGGGAGTTGAAGTGGGCAGGCTAGGCCGTACCATGCAAATTAATATATTGTAGATCTATATTAAATATTGTATTACACAAGTGACTATGATTGATCAATTTACTGATTTTTTAATTAGGTTTGCTTAACTTCCAGTAGCAAACAATGCATATTCTGGCGGGGAAAGAAACTAAACAATGCATCATTTAAGTAGGAACATCGAAGGGGATCGTACCGGATGAAGGGAGGGAAATTTGGACTGTCATTGGCAAAAGGGAGCATTATATTGCCGATTAATATGACCATTCAAAGAATTTGTATGTACAAGCAGTGTAACAATCTCCAAAACGGAGCATGGTAGTGAATGTAACAATTCGGACCTGATATGACGTAGTATGTGTACATTCTGTACGACCATCACTGCTGCACCACCTCTCTCACCGGACCTCAGCAAAGATCCTACACATTTTACAATTCATATGAAATACAGAAATCAACATTTGGAAAAAGTTTGTTATCACGATGTATCTACTTACCCTTTGTTTTCCTTCACCGTTACATAGTCGCTGCTTTGTTGAACTACTACAACCTGCTGTTGTTGCTGTTGGTGATGCATCGGTGGTGGACCATATCCGCCATTATAGGGTGGAGGTGGTCCTTGTGGTGGCGGGTAGTGAGCAGCCGGAGGCGGAGGGTACTGCCCACCTGGAGGCGGGGGATACTGCCCACCAGGAGGTGGAGGATACTGCCCACCAGGAGGAGGCGGGTACTATGAAAAATATTAGAGAGTAAAATATTACAAAAACGTATTCAACCTACATGTAGTGGACATGTCAAAGATGTTGCAGTAATGAGGTCGAATATTAAAAAAATCTGTTCAACTGTGATAGTCTAGCAGACCAACGAAAAGATAATAACAATGATAAAGGATTCTTGCAAGCATTTAAAAGATTTACACCTAACCAAAAAAACTGAAATGGGTTATGAACAATTAGGAACAATGAGAAATTATTATCACAATTATGCATATTCATAAGTGTTGGTGAGATTGACGCAAACACAACTTTCAAATTTTTCCCTCTTTCGATTTTTACTAGTTATTAGACGATTCAAGATTATCCTCCTCTTTTCTTATCATCACTTAAACTGTAGTATTTTCCATTTGTCAGTTTTACAACACTGTCCCTTTATATATCTTGCAGAATGGCAATGCCTACCTCTTGTTGATGTGCATTAGTCTTGAGGAGAACCACTTGTGGTGATAATTATATAGTATTTGTAGCTAGTTCTAAATGACAGCCCCTTGATGACCTCTACATTGGGTAGGTGTAAAGTTTCTCCTGCTATGCACTGGTTATGAGGAGAACTAGTACTAAATATGAAACTATGCTGCTTGTTCTGTTATTTTCTTTTAATATATTTTATATCTGTTTCTATAAAAGGACATCATTACTCCACACACTTAACAGTTTAATAATATCCTATATTCATGTATTGTGAATAATTAATTCAATTGTGTGTTTTCTTGAGATCTTTTATTCTCAGATTTTTGTATAATAAATATTAACGTTTTGTTATTACTTGAACTATGATGTTTATGTATCTTGCCTGATAAGAACCCATGAATGGGTAATAAAAATTACATTTGTGGACAAGTAGCATACACTGTAATACCAATTTCATTTTGTAATAGTTTTCCATTTAGAAATAACAATCTTTAGGCAGAAAGAAACTAGTTTTAAAATTAAAGGAGTCAAACATGTACATACATGATAACTTTCAATTTTTATTGTTGTATTTTCATATGCATGAACACAGATATTTTATATATCATGATAAATAAGGTGACTGACTTACCTGCTGCATTCCTGAAAAATATAAATGTTTAAACATTTTACACAAGTGACTGGTGCGAAATAAATTAGCGAAAGCTACGTGAATGTCAATTTAGCGCAAAGGAGTTAAGATTAAAAAAAATTGGTAAAATGCGCATCATAAATTAACGGAGAATAAGGTAAAATTGTGTGATAATAAATGCATCCTTTCGGGGGGATAAAAGTCAACCAGCAGTAGAGGTAAATAAAAGTAAAACGAATCATGTGTATGATAAGTATTTCTGGATTTACTTTTAAATGTATCAGAAGCTCGCAGAACAAAAAGATACATATCTTTAAAGTTATACAGCAGGCAAAAAAGGAAGTGGAAAATAAAATTTAGAATTATCTATGAAAAATACAATTTGTCTTTGAGAGGTGCCTGTTTATTGAAAATAATTTTATTCATGTCAAAATTTGTATAAATATAGAAAGTAAGGATATTTCAAAGAAGCTGACTGGAATATTGAAATATTGTCACCTAGACTTCTGACGTCCAGCGTTAAACACCGCTTACAGGGGTAAATGTATAGAATGAATTTCATAACAGCGTGGACATGGACACATTGTAATTAAATGTTATCTTGTGTATCACTGGCTGTCGACCATAAAGACTTCACGCAATTACAGTATGTCAGGGGCCTCTCAATTGGGATATACATAATTACTATCTTTACACATGTCCATTCTTAAAATAATAGTTTTTGCATGAAAGTTTATAGAAATTGTTTTGAATATATTTGTATTCTCACAACAAAAAGTTTCTTTTGGCAGAACGAGTATATTCAGAGGTGATATCACCAAGTAATCGAGAGAAAAAAAAACGTTATGTTTTTCTTGCACAAACGTTCTGTGGCTTCTTAAAAAATAAGAAAACATTTATTCGTACGAGTTGATGTAGAGTAACCTACGATCAACTTTCATACTAAGATTATTTTTTGATGGTAATAAGAACCCCGGACCTTCATAAACAATCATTTTAGTCCTCTGGGCTGCATAATTTTTTGCACGGAATTTCCATCGAAGACGCCAACGATCAGATTTGCATGAACATTTAAATACCATTCTAACAAAAAATAACCCGTGAAAATATCTAGAAGCATATGAATCCTGTCTTGTGTGTAAAATTTACGTTAACTGGAGTCAGAGTAGCTTTTGTGGAAACATTGATATTTATTTTAGATTTTGTTATACCCGAAAACGTATTACAAAAGTTACGGGATCTCTATTCTTTATACAAATTAAGCAGGTTATTTCAATGAATTTGGTCTTACTCAACTATTTTATTTTTGTTATTTGAGGACGCATATTTGAGACAATTCTGCATAAATATTAATTAGCAATTTTATTCATGCTGATTTCAAAAGCCTCTTGCATAGCCGACCCCTCCCTTATTTTAACTGAATCAGGAATGGTCGCCCCCTTACAATTTGAAATTGTACTCACTTGTTTTTCGGTTTCTTTGTTTCCATATATCTTTATGAATTTAATGATATGTTCACAATGCATCTGTTTTGGAATAATAAATCATGTGTACAAGACTAAACTGGTCAGCTGCATTTAACAGGTCGGGTACATATCCTTATACGAACATATATTATTTAGCATACGTATGCCCCCCGTCAATGCATGTATAAGTGTTTGTTTCCAATTAAGGCATTTTGTTTTTATTTTGGCGATTGACCAATCCACTGAATGATTTGCAATGCATGGTTGACTACTTGCCTATAACTGACACACTACTTAATTTTTCACTTATTGCCAGAAAAGAATTTTTCTTACTTTTTTCTCACATTTTTTTCTCTCGATTACCTGGTGATATCACCTCTGAATATACTCATTCTTTCAAAAGAAACTTTTCCTGTGAGTATATAAATATATTCAAAACAAATTCCTATTAACTTTCATGCCAAAAAAAATATGAATGGCCATGTGTAAAATAGTAATTATGTATATCCCCATTGAGAGGCCCCTGACATACTGTTATTGCGTGAGGTCTTTGTTGTCGACAGCCAGTGACCGACACGATATCATTTAAATATCAGATGTCCATGTCCACACTGTTATGAAATTCATTCTAAATGCACAGCCATGACTGGAAGGAATGGGGAAGTTAAATCCTTGGTTTTATAGAAACTTGACAATGACAAGTACAGGCGATTAACTGTCTATTAGCAGAAGCAAAAATCTGACAAGTACAAGCAATTAACTTTTTTTATGAGCAGAAACATATAAATGACAAGTACAGGCGATTAACTTACAATTGTTTAATTATGATCAGAAACATAACACTGACAAACTTGTTTATAAACCGAAACATAACACTGGCAAGTACAGGCGATTAACTTGTTTATAAGCAGAAACTTAACACTGGCAAGTACAGGCGATTAACTTGTTTATGAGCAGAAACTTAACACTGACAAGTACAGGCAATTAACTTGTTAGTGAGCAGAAACTTAACACTGGCAAGTACAGGCGATTAACTTGTTTATGAGCAGAAACTTAACACTGGCAAGTACAGGCGATTAACTTGTTTATGAGCAGAAACTTAACACTGACAAGTGCAGGCGATTTACTTGTTTATTTGCAGAAACTTAACACTGGCAAGTACAGGCGATTAACTTGTTTATGAGCAGAAACTTGACACTGGCAAGAACAGGCGATTAACTTGTTAGTGAGCAGAAACTTAACACTGGCAAGTACAGGCGATTAACTTGTTCATGAGCAGAAACTTAACACTGACAAGTGCAGGCGATTTACTTGTTAGTGAGCAGAAACTTAACACTGGCAAGTACAGGCGATTAGCTTGTTTATGAGCAGAAACTTAACACTGGCAAGTACAGGCGATTAACTTGTTTATGAGCAGAAACTTAACACTGGCAAGTACAGGCGATTAACTTGTTTATGAGCAGAAACTTAACACTGACAAGTGCAGGCGATTTACTTGTTTATGAGCAGAAACTTAACACTGGCAAGTACAGGCGATTAACTTGTTTATGAGCAGAAACTTGACACTGACAAGTACAGGCGATTAACTTGTTAGTGAGCCACATTCCCTTATTAATAAGTCAATGGCAAACATCTAAGTAGCATAATGATGTCCTGCAAAATATTTAAAACATATTGTGCACGTCACAACGGCGTTACATGTATGCATATAAAAAACGAATTTTAATTTAACATGTACTGCATTAACATATTACAACTATACCTGAAGATTTTTAATTTTATATACGATTATCCAATTTCCTGTTCATCAATGATATTGAAATGAAATAGGGGTTGTTAATAAAACAAATCCACTAAGTAAATCTCTCTATTACATGAAGATACTATGTATATAAAATTACCAATGTCACGTCTACGGTATATTTTTAAAGTCTTTACTAAGTCCACCTTTGTAGCGCAACCACGGATATAACCAATACAAATAATAAATCCTTTTGAATTTTAAATGAAAATGGTTCAATTATTTAGACTTGGACTTATACTCATTACATGTAAACAATGTACATATACATGTAGTTCACTGTGTCACTGATTTTGACACTTTTAATAATTTAATATGTTTGAAAAGATTGTATATTATCGTTTTTAAAGCTATTTCGTTTAGTTATACTAATTTACTTTACTGTAAGTAACATCAATGGTGGTCTGTTTCAACGGTATGCGTAATAAAAATACTATCTGTAGTGTAATTACTTTTCGTTTCGCATAGCGTTTATACAATACATACAATGTTTCCACCTTATATGAAATAAAAACTTAAGTAAGCATACAGATTATCTGACGCTTTTCTCCACGTATAGGACTATGTTATGCCTGTAAAATATACTTAGTTTGCGAAACGATTTTAATAGTTTTAAGGAATTTGTCTCATACTTTAATGATTATTTCGACATTTGTTAGTTATAAGTAATTTTAGCTAAACCAGAGACCTCATTGAGCTTGATTCGCTCCTTGGTAAATCTACCCTTTACTGTCTCCAGAGAAGATAACTTTCTGACTAATTTAGCTACAGTTACGATTTCTTTTTTTTGTAATGGATTCTTTATCTACCAAATATGTGAGTTTATAAATGATAGATTGGAATATCTTGTTTTTGTTGCATAATTTCTCTGTTTGTCCCTTCTACTGGTATATAACCAGCAAATGTATCAGGACAAGAAAACAAAAATCAGGTACAGTGTAACAAAATTTATTTCAAACCTAGTCACACTCAAAGCTATAAAAATTATTATTACAGATAGTGGTGTTTAGCTTTCAATTATTGCATGCATACGTATATAATGTAAAATCTTAACGCTATATGAAATAATTTCAACAAATATATGTGATTATTATTGTTTTTTTTTTTAATTTTTTTAATCTTTTTTTTTTTTCTTTTTATTATTTTTTCTACTCTTGCGCCACTTAAATTTTCGGTCCAATTTATGCAAACGTTGAAATAATACGTAATGTATGCATGCTCTTATATAATTGTATTGTTAAATATATTAAATGGAGAAGACTCCATACGTTTGTTTGACTTGTGTATAATTCAATCTGTGTTTATGCAAATAAAATATGTTTAAAATTAAACCAAATCAAAAGGAAGCAATTTGTATTCATTTGATTTTGTCTATATTGTCTTTTAACTTCTTATAATCTTATCTCAAACAATATACCAGATGTCAATTGATACTGTATGCTGTCGGGTTGTGTTGCTGTCTCATCGACGTGCATCCAACATCTCCTTTTAATCATAGATGATCAAATTTGAAACAAACTGGATATTAAACTGTTTTTATGGTCTTTATTAAAAAGGGAAGATACTAGGAGGGCAATTAAAACATAAGCTTAAGAAAAAACAACCAACGTCATGCCAGAAAGAAGAAAAACAACCAAGAAGAAAAACAACCAACGTCATACCAGAAAGAAGAAAAACAACCAAAAAGAAAATTAACCAACGTCATGACAGGAAGAAGAAAAACAACCGACGTCATGCCAGAAAGAAGAAAAACAACCAAGAAGAAAAACAACCAACTTCATACCAGAAAGAAGAAAAACAACCAAGAAGAAAAACAACCAACGTCATGCCAGAAAGAAGAAAAACAACCAAGAAGAAAAACAACCAACGTCATGCCAGAAAGAAGAAAAGCAACCAAAAAGAAAATTAACCAACGTCATGACAGAAAGAAGAAAAACAACCGACGTCATGCCAGAAAGAAGAAAAAAGACGAAAAGACACCAGTCAATATTAACTATATAGAAAAGTAAAGATTAGGCGAAACACGCAACTCATAAAATGTTCCAGATGGTCAAGTAGTATCTGCTTCCTGAGCATTCTTCACAAGGTCATGCTTTTCTCTGACGTCTTTACACTAAATCCATTGGATGTTGGATGTTGATAGTTTAGTCTTAGATACATGACATTTTTATTAGATGTTATTGGCTTTGAACTAGTAACTGCGAGTTCTCTCAGATCTGTACTTAGTCTATTTTTTGTTATAGGGATGTATAAATACATAGCCACGTCCGGTTTGTGTTTTTGTTACTTATTTTTCTGCTTTGTTTCGATCTGATGAGTTGAGCCTTTTTCAACTTATTTTTATAGTTTGTTCATATTTTGTACTATTACACCACTTGTCCCAGGTTAGAGGAAGGTTGGGAGCCCGATAACATGTTTAACCCCGCCACATTCTTCATGTGCCTGTGCCAAGTCAGGAGCCTGTAATTCAGAGGTTGTCGTTTGTTGCGGTATATCATGTTTGTATTTCGTTCATTGTTTTTACATAAATCAGGCCGTTATTTTTTTTGTTTGAATTGTTTTACATTTGTCATTTCGGGGCCTTTTATAGCTGACTATGTGGTGTGGGTTTTGCTCATTGTCGAAGGCCGTACGGTGACCTATAGTTGTTAACTTCTATGTCATTTGGTCTCTGGTGGAGAGTTGTCTCATTGACAATTATACCACATCTTCTTATTTCTATAGTCATTATGATTTGTAATAAATGAAAGGAGTAAAACCTTGTGGCTACGGCAACTGAATCATATTCATAATAATGATACGAAACCCTTTACAAATTTTATCACATCTTGCTGATTGTTTGGAATATGTAAAAATTATGTTACAAAATTAAATTTGATAAATATCTGTAAAAATAAAACATGTTACAATAAATCAAGCATGATAATTTTTACAAATGTCTTTCTTAGATGGTTTCTGTCATCGTTTTGAAGTGTTTTGATTCTACAATCCCCATAGAATAGAGAATGGAAACGCAGCAAGAAATTCCTGCACCCGTAGCCGAGCTTCATCTGGCCCCTTAGCAATAATGTAGTAGTTCAGCGAAATGGACGCCACACTAAACTCAGAAACATACAATTAAACCAAAATTAAAAAAAAAACACATAAGACTAACAAGGATTAGAGGTTCCAGTCTTTAGACAGGTGCAAAAATGCGGCGGGTTTAAACATGTTTTGTGAGATCTCAACACTGCCCATCTACTATTTATCTTTCTTCCTGCACAGCCGCAACGCTTTTCTAAGAGTATTCCAGATAAAGGTAATTTACATAAATTTACATCAGACGTAACAAAAAAACTGTGTTATATTTTGATTGCTTTTACATGATAAAGCACGCATGGTGTGAAAATCCACAACACACATTTTGTCTACCTCTTTTAGTGATAAAATATATTCTTTCTATTATTCTGGGATTCCCCACTTTAAATCTTTTTTTTTTATAATTCTTGTCATTAGAAAATAAATAAAAATAAATATCTAACGAATGCATACAATTAGTTTTTATTAAGGTAGGCATACGTTACTCCACCCAATCAACCCACAAGTAATCCAATAAGACATCGGTGAGTCTCAGCTCGTCGTACATATATACTGTCCTTCATTATGCAGATTTGCGTGAAAGTTTATTTCACGAAGTTTGAAAAAAGTAAAATAAATGTTGATTTTTATCTGATGATGATAAGTTTATATATCTTTTTAAAAGTACTGATTGTTATGATATGGTTGCCAAGACCTGCTTTGATATATTTTAAAAGTAGAAAAAAAATCGGTTTTATTTTCGTATGCTTGATTAATAGTTATGTTTTAAAGAACTGAAATGTTTTGTAGACATGATACATATATAGTTATAATTTATTTTACTTTTTATTGGAATTTTATAGTCTTTCGTTATTCTTTATACAAAGGCACTTGTATTTTAACTTATAGAATTGCTGTTTTATACCATGTATATATACTGACCGACTTTAGAAACGCAACACTAGATTATTCTTTTTAAATTTTTGAATGAATGTGGCACCGTCAAAAGCAATGACTGCCTGTAACAAACGCCAAAGTGATTGTCAGAAAGATCAACCAATTCTGTTCCACATGTTTTGGGTTCCGTTTTACACCTTCTGAATATGCGTTGTTTCACCCATTACAATGGGTTTTGGCAATTATGCGGTGGAAACTTCAGGGCTTTAAATGTTTTTCTTCAGTCGATTCGTTGGCAGTTCAGTTTATGGGAAACGTTTATGGCATGAATCTGTGCGCAATGGCATTCGGCAATATGATAAGCAGTTGACGTTGCGGCCGTAAACATGTCTTGCAAATGACGTTGCGTAATCGAATTCTATTGACGTTGCATTGTCACTACATGTTGATCTGGTCATTGATGGTCAGTAAAAAATCCCGTCTACCTGTATCGTTGCCGGAAGGAAAAGCAAGACGAGTTTCTGAAGTCAAACTGTATGGTTACAGCACGTTCACGTTTTCCTGTTTGCAGTATTCTTATGGGCTGATTCAGTTTTTTATTCCTCAGTCTTGGCAATATGGAGATGCAACATTTTTTAACTGATTTAAGTGTGGCAAAGGGTTGAAAGAACTGTTTCACGAAGCAAAACAAACTGAAAAAATCTTTTATGGGTTCCAAATTTCGCTTTAAGAAATTCGTGCGACTTCAAAAATCCGGTATGTTCAATAACCATAGGTAAGTCAAGCGTTGATTTTTTCTTAAGAGAAAGAAGTATGGTAAGCATTAATAGTAGTTGTATGAGAATCAAACATGATGTGGAAAAAAAATCAACAAAATGAGTGTTGCGTTTTTAAAGTCAGTCAGTATATAATGATGATTTTATTATATGTTTTACAAGTAGTGAGACTTTAAAAGAATATTGAATCTGAATCTGATTAGAGCTATTTTTCTAATGCTTGTTGTTGAAAGGTTTGGTTGGCTTGCTTGCTTTGTTTGTTTAAATGTTTGTTCAAGCATTGCAATTAAGATTGACATCTCCAATCATTAGATAGGCGGCGCTTCAGCTTGTATACCTGATGATACTTAAATGTTATTGGATGTTAAATATATAAAACAGAGTATAATGTATACAAGCT